GCGGAGGCTCGTCCTACTGCGGGCTACGGCCAACTTCTTCTGGGGTCCACAATTTTCCCGTGTCGAATTCCTCATATTTCGTTGCTTGTTTCGGTCCCTACGCCTTTTCTTCTTCGGTTCTCCTACCGGAATTACTTCAGCGTCTACTACGGGTACCTCTCGTTGTTCTGCTGCCTCAGGTTTCCTGTCCACTGAAGCCGGCTCTTTTTCTTCTGGATGTGCCTCCATTTCTCAGCTGGCCATTGTCTCCCCGAAGGTATCACTATGGGGATCTCTCCTTGTTGTGCCACCGCAGTTTTCGTTTCCACTGTGGCCGGCTCTTCCTCTTCTAGACGTACCTCCATCTCTGGTAGGCTATTGTCTTTACTTCTTTTTCGGAATTCGTCTCCGTCGTTTCTCGGCAGGCGGTCATATCTTTCTGCCAGGCATCCATATTGGCTTGCAACACCTTCTCACGCATGGCAGCCGTCCTTGCTTTGGTAGCTCTTGTTTCCGCTCGGATAGCTCTTGTTTCTGCATCCATCTTTACTTCCCAGGCTATCATCTTTTTTCAGCAGGAGTTCCATCATCTGCTGTGAGTCCATTTCCTTTTTGTAAGATAACACTTTATGCTCTCGTAAATTCAATTATTCGTCGAGGCGTGTTGATGTTCATAAACCAATTCTGACGGTCACGTGTGTAAGTTCGTAACCACCTCTGACACCAATGTAACGTGTTTCGAGTTCGAATCTTTTTGGTCACGTGTATAAGTTCGAATCCCACTTCTGACACCAGTGTAACGTGTTGGGTTACTGAAGACGCCGTTCGGATTGTTAATTTGTTTATTTAACAACTTACAAGTCGTAACTACAATTGATTATAACACTGTTGCGGAGTTTCACACTTTATAACCCAATTCCCAATAATCTCTTCACTCTGCGGGGTTTCACACTTTATAACCCTATTCGCAATTATCTCTTCACTCTATCTTCAGTAGTCTACACGTTTTCACAGTACGGGAGCTATATAAGTGTCTCTGTATTACACACTTCCAATTACACAATTACACACGCGTCCGGTTCTTCTTTCCCCGATGGCAGCTATATTCCAACTCAACTCTAACGGTTCACTGCTGGCTAGATTCCGACTCAACTCGTAGGCTACTGCCTTGAGAACTCGTTCACCGGTTACTGGGGAACTGTCTTCGGCCGCTGATACACTTTAACTTGTTCACTGCTGAGTGGAGAACTGTCTTAGGCCGCTGATACACTTTAACTAACTCCGGCGGTTGTGTACTTCCTATATATAGTCACAGCACCCGCCTGTTACGCAATGGGTACCGCTGTTGCCTGTTACCCGTGTCACAGCTGCGTTGCGTGTTACGTCATAGTGCGTAGGGAGTGGAACGCATCGCTGACTCATCCGCCACGTCACCGTGGCCAGAGCTGCGACGTCACTGCTGGGTTGGGAGGGTTTGTCCTCCATTGCGCAACATGTCACACTATGTTTGACATATTAGTAAACATTACTTCACGCCCATAATTACGTCAAATTTTATTAGATATGGATTTTTTAAATACAATGTAAGTGTCCTAACAGGAACTGACATTTAAATGCAGAGCAGCAGTGGACATTTAAATTCGCGCCAGAGGTGGGCATTTAAATGCGCACCAGCAGTGGGAATTTAAATTAACTTTGGCCAGTTGATGCTACCACCATGTTAAAAGTCGGGCATTTAAAGGTTAATAGAAATTCACTCAAATCCAACGCAAAGGATATGGGTGAAGTGATATTGAGCTTCCTTATGGAGCTGAGTCCTTGAGAAGTTGTCAGTTGTGCAGCCACTCAAGAATACACTCAGCCAATACAGATATTCATGGCGGACGGTGTGGTTCTGGGTGTGAGAGATGCTCTAGTTTTTACTACGAAATCAACGGAACGCACCGAAATAGAATGTCAGTGTTGTGCAGGATTAAAGATGGAATTAAACAAGATCACAATGGAATTGGAATCTTGAAGGAAAATCTGGGAATTGTTGATGCGTTGTATAGTGCTAATACAAGCGCCCTACAAAACAATAGGAATAAATCACAAATACCTACAAGTGAGAGGAACTGGATTCAGATAAGAACAAATCACCATATGAAGGTAACAGACAAGTTAAAAGAACATAAGGAAACATATGCAAGAACAAGTAATCGTTTTGAAGTACTAACTAACCTCAAAGACGATAGTAAACCAAATGTAGCAGAGAAGGAAATCATCCTCAAACCAAGGAAAACAGTCCAGGATACAAATAATATGTATAAAGATCTGATTCCAATCATTATTAATGGACGAACGACAGTGGAAACCAAGAAGAAGAGTATAAATCATAAACATAAAAAAAGTGTTCAACATGATGAACAACGGAAAGTAATGATCATTGGGGATAGCCATGCCCGTGGCTATGCAGCTAATATGAAATATTGTTTGACAAACAGTTGTAAGGTCAGTGGTATAGTGAAACCAGGAGCATGTTCAGATACATTAATTGCATCAGCACAGGATGATAGAACACTTAACCAACAAGGATGCAATTATCTTTTGGGGAGGTACTAATGATGTTGGCAAAAATAATTCACAAGCTGGATTAAGACACATAGTATAATTTGTGAAAGCCAATTGCCATACGAACATTGTGCTGGTGACTGTTCCCCATCAATACGACCTAAGTGATTGGTCATGTGTGAATAATGAAGTAAAAAGCTTTAAGAGAGTTAAACTCTGGCGACTGTTCAGTATCACGAGTGTCTCGAGCATCACGCGGTCACAAGTATCACAAGAGATTCCGAGTGAAATCACAGCATCCGCCGAGGTATAAATAGCCCACCTTGGACAAGAAGCAGTCAGTCTCGGGGCAGATGTCAAGGGATACGGAAGAGAGCCTGGTGGTAAGAGCCGAAGGAGTTAGCCTTGGGATAGCCAACGCCGAATATAAACAGTTTCGATTTATTTTCATTTTGATTTAATTTTTCGTGTGACACTGCCTTGGGATTGGGCTGTGTCGTTTTCAAATCTATCTATCTATGCAGCAGCGTAGTTGGTTGAGACAATATGGTACAAGTGGATTCGAGTCCTGAATCTTCCTCTAACTGAAATGAGTACCAGCAATCCTCCTGTGGGGTAAATGACAGCTGGGGCATAAGGCTGACAACCATACCACCATCTGTGAGCTGATTGTTAAGAGAAAGTGTGAGAGCCTTGATGTCTCACAGCCCTGTGGGACTTCATGGCCTGTCATAGGTATAACGTTACCTTCACCTAACTAATTATAATTCTCAGAATTTTGGTTTTAAAATTTTGGGTATGTCATAACATTGCTACATGTAATTTATACAGCTTGTTCTCTTTCTCCAGTCCTTCTCCCTCTTCAAAACATAAGCAGGTGACAGCCCAAGAGGAAGGACCAGAGTGTCGCATCCAGTGGCTCGCTTGCTGGATTTTTAGCCAGCGGTAGTTCTGGGTTTGGCAGTTTATCCAAGAAGAGGCCACCCTTATTTACTTCAGGTATGCCCTTAAAAAGCTTGCTGCTATCTATGAGCCGATTGTCTAGAAAATGTGGGAACCTCATTAAAGAAAATTATTTTGAAACTGGGGTTCCGCTGGAGGAAAACAAAAAATAATCGGCAGGAACTGGTGGAACGATATTGTGACGTGTTGCGCAATGGCGATAGTCAGGTCAACATATCAGAGCCAAAGGTCTTAAGTATTTGCGGCAAATTTAAGAATATAGGGAAGAGGGCCGCCCACTCATCTACATGGATGAAACCTATATTCATTCATCGCACGCCACCCCATATGCATGGAATGATGGATCCATCCAGGGACTATTTTCCCCTGTGTCCAAAGGCCAACGGCTCATTGTTATCCAAGCAGGGGGAGAACAAGGTTTCCTCCCTAATGCCTATGCCTGCTTCAAATCCCACAAAAGAAAACAGGAGACTACCACAGTAACATGAACTACACCAATTATGAAAAAATTGTTAAACGAGCGACTTATTCCTAACCTTCCCCCAAATTCTGTCCTTGTCATAACGTACAACTAAACAGAACCCCTAACTCAAATTAAAGAAAGGTTTTATGATATCCTGGCTAAAATATCACCTTCCACCTAGTACCTTCAATAACACTGATTTTTCATCATTGCAGAATACAGACATATATATCATGATCCAACCACTCAAACCGAAATACCTTTCATATAAAATAGACGGAATCTTTGCAGAACACAGTCACAATATTTTACAACTCCCCCCGTATCACCCAAACTGAATCCAATTGAGTTAATATAGGCCACCGTAAAAAAATTGTGTTGCTCAAAATAATACCACATTTAAGATGGATGATGTCATTGAACTGACAGACCAAAAATTGGCTTCCATAACTGCAGACGAATGGCAATTTAGGTGCCAATATGTAAGGAACATCGAGCAACAATTAATGGCACAGGCAGGCCTTTTGGACGCAGGATGGGAGTTCGTCTTCCATGTTGTCGGTGATAATGATGACAGTTCTGATGATACCTCTGATTCATCTGGTGGTGATGAAGAAGAACAGGCGTGTGGAGATGATATATATGTGGACATTGCCGGTGTTGCCACTTTAGAATAGACCTGTGTAATATGTAAATAATCTCTTCATGTATATAACAGTGAAAAGTGTATAATAGTGTATAGTGCATAATAGTCTGCCATTCGGCACTTAAAACTTAGCATCGGATGTGTGAACATCAACGACACTAAACCACCATCACTATGCAACACAATGAGGTAAGAAGTTATTTCCTTTTGAGAACGCATGTACTGCATTCCCCGCCACTACCAATACTTCTCCTACTTCACATTGGAGGACTGTCAGCTCTAAGCACTAGAGCTTTGTACTCATTTCTTCTTTGCATATAAGTTATTGTTTGATATTCTTATTCTCCTGCATTATGTATACAGAGTGTTCATTAAAAATGTATACATCCTCCTAACATCCATAATACTTCTAAAAGAACAGGTAGTGAGAGGATAGTGTTTATATACCCTGTTTCATCCTATTGGCAGGTCTTTGAAATTTGAGCAATGTAAGTGCCATCTTAAGTTCTGCTGGAAAGCTGAGGATATGGAAGGGACACAAAGCTATAAAATTGAATTTGAAACCAACCACAAATATATTTAGCAAATTCTAAGTTGTGTGAGACATATAAGACGGGTGCAGAACTGCAGGATGTAAATGAGGGATGGTCAAGAAGCTCTTTTAAGTCACTTAATCTAAAGTGCATTGTAAGTGTTGCAGGTTTTTGCAGAGTTGCTTAGAAAGTCCCTTAAGATGCTTCTTTTGAGGCTTAAAACTAATGTTGGTGGCATTCTGCTCGCTGTGAAGTGGAAACCGTATTGACACTGCTATATGCCACGAGTGAAGATAATACAGATCATTAGCTTTAATTATGTGGATAGTATTAATGCACATGCAATAAAAATGGGTCTTTCTAGATTTAGTTGACTTACTTCAATCATAACAGGATTATTAGCCAGCATAATCATACTGGCCAAGATAATCCACACATGACAGTAACTGAAGCACTGTACCAGGTATAACAGCAAGCTTTTGTCTGTCTTCCAGAGGAATTATTGTACCATTTTTCTTTAAAGCAACTATTACTGAAATTGCATGACTACAAATATTTTAGGAGAACATTATGCAGAGCATTAATGAAATGTATGAGGGGCAGTAAAATAAAAATGGGCCAGAAGCCAAAACATATTGTGACATGTTGCGCAACGGAGGACCCCTACCTCCCCAGCGGCACGTGGCGGTAACGTAGGGCTCTCGTTACTATTTGTCGCGCTACGTAGGACACCGCTCTCGTTGGTGCTTCCACCTTATCGTGGTGAGGGGTTTTGAGTATGCCAAGGACCCTGAGAGCTATACCAGCGGTAGCGTAACTACTGGCAGGGCCTCCCTTGCTGGACAGATCAAAGGGTAGGCATCAGACGAAGAGGGACACCAAAAACCCAAAACTGATGCCAGAAGCAGCGTCATCAGTAGCGACTTGAAGCACAGAGCAAATGATGCTCGAGATGGTTCAAGTTCGTATAGCAACAGGCGTGACCAGAGTGGTTTGAACGGCTGCTGTACTGCGATGTGGAAAGCAAATGGAAAAACTACCACATTATCACTTTTCCTGGATAGTCTCTTTCCAAACA